CGCTGACTAAAGTGCGCTTATATATAGACACTCTCGTCAATACTCCATAGTGGCTGTTTTAATAAATCTTTTCTGGTTGAGAACGATCGAATTACTTATGCATCGACACGAAGAAATTACATCATTTGGTGAAAATGTTTAGCATTTCGTAAAATTCGACTAAAAATGGCAAAATTCTTCCGCTTCTGGCCACCGCCACTACTTCTTCCTCGTTTGTGCTGTTTCGTGGGTCAATAAACTTGTGGGCCCAGTCAAAAATTTGTATATGAGAAATTCTTTTGTTGGCAACAAAAGAACGAACGCGTCACGTACGACAGGGCTCTTTGGGGGAAAGGGAAAGAGCCAGAGCGAGTGCGAGTGCGAAATGTAAACATTACAAAAATGCCAAGCCATCGCATCATCATCATCATCATCATCGTCATCATCATCGCAAATATGTGGCCAAAAATAAGAACTCAGCTGAACTGAACTGAACCGAACTGAGGCGAACACCCGTTAGCCAAGTTAATAGCAACAATATTATGTGTTTTTCTGAGATCTCCATTAAGCCTGTGAATGAATGAAATCGGACCTTACGAAATTCTAACGGAATTCTAAGCTCACACACACACACACACGTACATATGTATGTAGTAGCCTGGCAGAAAAGAAAGCGACAAATTACGTAGCCAGCATGCTAATGCTCTTTCTCTCTAACGGCATTTCGCACAGCCGGCTAAAAGCCGCACTCTTCCCAGTTTATTCCCCCGCCCCCACCCATCCCACCATCTCACAGCCTGTGTTTTTGTCATCTTTGAGTGTGTTAGTGTGAAAGCTTGAAACGAGTTTTCTATTAGCATTTGCTTGGCGGCAAAAGAACCAAGCACGACCCAAAGAGAGAGAGAGCTCCAACAGAGAGAAAGATAGGGGGGGCCGAGAGCGACTCTCTTGGCTTCTCATTCTCCAACACAAGGCAGTCGTCGGCTGGTGCATTGACCCCACAGCTCGCTGACCCACTTACGAAGCTGCTTTTTGCCAATGCGAATCCGAATGCGAATGGTTGGCCGCCGAAGCGAGCTCGTGCCGCTGCCGACGGGGCGAATAAGCAACTTGTGCAATAGGCAGCAGCAGCAACGATGGCAGCAGCAGCAGAAGCCGCAGCCACTGCAACAGCAATAGCGTCGACTGCGCTGCCAAAGTGGCAACTGAAACTGACTTTGCTTTGGTTTCTGCCTCGGCACACTGGTCCCAGACATGCCAAAATCCACATTGCAGTAAAACCTCAATTGGGATGCTAATTGGAAGGTACAAGACTAATTTGCTAATCAAAAATCACCAAATGAATACCTTCAATAAATAATGCATAATAAAGCATCAAATTGAGTCTCAAATTGAGTAAGAAAACTTTAAAGTTAAAGCATCCATAAGATAAATATCTAATCATTATCTTTATTGAATAAATATTACATTTTTTTGAGGATTGTTTTCTTTTAAGACTACATTTGTCACTGTAGAGAGCAGAAGAAGTAAGTGACGAATGTGGTGTTTAACAATATTTCATATTTATTACATCAAGTTTAAGATAAGATAGATTTTATATGGATATGGAGGTTTACAGAATGTAGAATGTAAGAATGTGCCTTAGACTATATTTGTTAATGTAGGGACCTCTCGAAGTAGGTGACGAAGCTAAGCTCAAGTTTATTATTTTATTTCTAAAAACTTTCTTATCTAATATTTGAAATATAATAAAGAGTACTCCAATACAGTATATGAAAATAATAATAAGCTACTGTATTTCCTTTAAATTTAATCAAAAGCCTGAAATTATTAAAATGTATAATAAATTAAATTATAATAAATTAAAATTAAAACTTCAATTATTCCAAGTTGTTTATATAAAACTGAAACTCTACTTCCAATATTTCTAAATATTTTACATCATAATCTAAACCATTTATCACCTTTAGTCTCATAGTTTTCGTCTCTCGACCAACTGTTTTTGAGTTATTTTGTGTTTTATATGTCTATTTTTTTATTATTATTGCTATAGTTTCTGGTGTTATTGTTATTTTGTTTGACTTTGCCGTGCGCCGCAGTGCCAAAAACTGCAATCATATGCAGCCCGCCCCACAGGCCCCTCCGGCAGCCGACTTCTGCAGTCTCCCGGCTTTTTATTTTTATTTTTTTGTTGCTTTTTTTTTTCGTTAGCACATGTCGTTGCATATTAATTTTTCTCGAATACGAATACGAATGTGAGCATTTGCAAGTGTGAGTGTCTCGGGTCCTGCATTTTTGTTTTTGTGGCCATGCATTTGCAATAAAGAAGAACATATTAATTTTGACTTCTGGTTATTGCTGCACCCAGCGAACGAGGCAAAAAGAAAGCCCGTGGGGCAATGCAAATAAATTGCACATGCTAAATATTTCAGCCTCTCCCCTCCTCATTCTGAATTTATTTTATTAAGCGGGTTTTTTTTAGTTTATTAACTGCAACTCGTTTTCGGCGGCAACGGTGCGTATGCGTGATACGTGGAGTTACCTAATAATTGAATGGATGTTTTTTCATTGAGTGCTGGGCTGGGCGTTGCAGCTTAATTAATTAAACATATTTTATAGCTTACATGCGATTTTTGCTGGCTCGTTTTATTCCAGTTTTTACCTCTGATAAGTAAACAATTTCACCCAATATTTGCTTAAATTTCGAAAAAGTATGTCATAAATTTCTGTTTTCTCGCCGTCAAAGTACACAATGCTAAAAAAACCAAATAAGACAATAAAATGTATTTCGTGACACACTTTTCCGCGCAGCGTATTAAGTAAATATTTGCGACTGGTATTTGTTAACCCGAATGGGGGCAAAAAAATGTGCGTAGGTTCAGAATTCATTTAGTTCCAGTAACTTGTCACCATGTAAAGTCTGAAAACTTAATTATAGTTCTAACACAGCCCCTGCAACAGTTACTAATACTAAGCTAAAACTAATGAATTATTTGACAGCCACCATAAAAATCCAAACTTCCAAAATAAATAAACAAAAAAAGTGCACTACTACCGACAGGGATGTTTGCTTAGTGTGTTATCGGTTCATTTATCGATTTTATGAAGTGCATACAAATGAGCTGAAATTGCCCGTAAAGTTCGAAGCTTTTACTCGACATAGCGGTAAATGCTGGCCCACCCCCACTCTCTTCCAGCAATGCAGTTACCTCCGTCTTATCTGTCTGAAGACTCATAAACACGCACATTCCCAGTACTTCAGATAAAGATTTATGTTCGTTTTTTTTATTATTTTGAAGTCGAGGGAAAGCCTTACGAAGCCTGGCATTTGCTAGGCGGGTATTTCAAGTATTTCCTTATTCCCGAAAAAGATAAAACTTTAAGGCGCTTTAAAACCCCCCCATTTTCAGCCCAACGACGATGACGACACACATTCTGAGAAAGAAAACTTGACGCTCAGTTGCATTTCCAAAGAGCGGCAAGGACTCTCTTACCGTTTAAGAGAGCGGCGAGCCAGTAAAGAGAGTCGGAGAACTTTCTTTTCGATTTTGTTTTTGTTTTCTTTTTCTTCGCTCGCCGAGAATGTTTACGGGAGTATCTGTGTGGTAGCGGTATCCGTATCTGTGTGCGCTGTGAGATACTGCCGTGTTGGAAAGGTTCATTGACACTTGAAAAACATTTCAGTCACTCACTCACACAAAGCGACTCGGTTACTCACTCCGCTGCCACTGCCGCTGTCGCTCATCATCTGTCACACATTTCTCTCGGCTCATGACTCCCAATCCCCCAAAAGGTCCCCCACATCCTCCGTCCCCCAATATCCCAATCCACTCCCAATCCGATTTCCATTCGATCCGATCCAAGCAGTGCGGCTTGGCACATTTTTCGAGCTCTGTGTTGTGTTTTGATTTTGCTCTGCCGTCCGCAGTCGACGTCGCTGCCGCTGCTGACGTCTCGGCTGGCGGCTCTGTTGCGGCGGATGCTGCGACAGCGTCTGTGTTTGTCTGCGTTCGGTTCAGCGCGCATCTTTCATCCTCGTGGGTAAATACGCAAAGCGCCTAGATTACACAATACCGCCGCCAGACTCTCTTTATCTGCTGCCGCTCTTGCATGCTTTTTAAGTCCAACACTGGGCAACAAAAGTTGGGGTTAAGCTTTATTAAATAAGTGATAATAATGGTTTGGAATTTTTAAGATTTTATGAACTTGCATGGACTATAATCTTAAATATTCTAGTTTTCGTTTAGAGTTTTTAAGAGTTTTCATTATTTCCTGATATATTTTATATCAATATAGATAGATATTATGGATATTAATATAGAAAAATATCCCCCTTTTTTATAATTTTAAGAAACCCCATTAAGGTCTACGCCCAAACTGATCTTTTGCTAACTAGTGTTAGTTGCAACAAATCGCAATTCTCTCATTGAACCAGTTCTCAGCGATGGTGCAGTGGTGCTGATCAGGAAATTGCATCATCGCTGTAAAGGATTGCGGCAAGGGAAACCCAAACAGCTGTCGCACTATCTCCAACCTCTTTCTTCTGGGCCTCTTCTCCCCCATTGGGCCTCTCGCTGCCACAGACAATCTGGTGTGCGAGCATTCTTTTATTGTCTGGGGCAGACAAGTGGCTTAAGGTGCATTGTGCCGCATGGATAATACATTACAATATTGCGCAATAGTTCTTTGGGGTTGATTTTGCTTTTGTCTGAACTCCGACAATGGAAAGTCTGGGATCGGAAAATCCATTGATTGTAATTGCGGGGCGTTCACAATTGTCGTTTATTTGTGATGTAGGTTCTTAAGTTATGAAAAAGCTGTTTTCTAAAAATTTAACAGGGGTTTAATTAACAAAAGAAGAGGAAATTATTTCCTTTTAATAGAGTATCTGTTATCTAGTAATTAAAATGATATATGAAGTTTAAATATCTGCTGGTAAACAATTATTTAAAATATTTTTTTTAGGTTTTACTTTAATTTCTTTCAATACTAATCTATATCTTCCACCTCTTTAATTTCAGCTCAAATCGAGATAATTCCATGCAAAGTCTGCGGCGACAAGTCATCGGGCGTGCACTACGGCGTTATCACCTGTGAGGGCTGTAAGGGATTCTTTCGACGATCGCAGAGCTCCGTGGTGAACTATCAGTGTCCGCGCAACAAGCAATGTGTGGTGGACCGCGTTAACCGGAACCGCTGTCAATACTGTAGACTGCAAAAGTGCCTAAAACTGGGAATGAGTCGTGATGGTCTGTAGAAATGGTTCAAGTCTCTAAGGAGAAAAAGTTTTTAAGCTATTTTTAAGTTTTCAACTCAGACTTTGTGGGTGTCCTTGAACTAGTGATGAACTAGTTCTTTCTATTCAAAGAAATAGACAATTTTCATAGTCTACTTAAGTGGGAGGAAGCATGAAGATCATTTTAATGATAAAACTAAGGATAATAACAGTTTTTTAAAGAGAAAAATTTGTTGATTTGTTAGTTTAATTATTATTACAGAAATATCCTCCATCTTGAGGCTTTAAAATTAATTCCATCATGTCCTTAACCCGTTTTTGCAGCTGTAAAGTTCGGAAGGATGTCGAAGAAACAGCGCGAGAAGGTCGAGGACGAGGTCCGCTTCCACCGGGCCCAGATGAGGGCCCAGAGCGACGCGGCGCCGGACAGCTCCGTGTACGATACGCAGACGCCCTCTAGCAGCGATCAGCTGCATCACAACAACTACAATAGGTGCAGTATGACCGATATGAGAATGACTTTCCATATTGATGTTTCCGTTTGCGTTTTCTTGCCCCTGCCCCCGGCTTTTGGTCCACGCTCTTTATCTCCCCCGTTTCTCTGCTCTTCTCTTCCCCTCTCACCCAAATATCCCAACCCGCCAACCCGTGCCCGGCCTGAACCCGCAACGCTCAACCCGTAATGCCCGACCCGTAATGCCCTTCTCTGTCACTCAGCTACAGCGGCGGATATTCCAACAATGAGGTGGGCTACGGCAGTCCCTACGGCTACTCGGCCTCGGTGACGCCCCAGCAGACCATGCAGTACGATATATCGGCGGACTACGTGGACAGCACCACCTACGAGCCGCGCAGTACAATAATCGATCCCGAATTTATTAGTCATGGTAACTAACTAACATTTAATATATATATTTTAGAAATAATATAATATCCCTTCAGCAGATGGCGATATCAACGATGTGCTGATCAAAACCCTGGCGGAGGCGCATAACAACACAAATACCAAACTGGAAGCTGTGCACGACATGTTCCGAAAGCAACCGGTAGGCTACTAACTAACTAATCCCTAACTTAAACCCTGACTAAATAAATATTAAATATTAAAACAAAAGCAGGACGTATCGCGCATTCTCTACTACAAGAATCTGGGCCCCGAGGAGCTCTGGCTGGACTGCGCCGAGAAGCTTACACAAATGATACAGAACATAATCGAATTTGCAAAGCTAATACCAGGATTCATGCGCCTGAGTCAGGACGATCAGGTAGACCTTGTTTTAAATAAATATATTAACTACCTAATTAATGGTTTTAATCTCATTCAGATATTATTGCTGAAGACGGGCTCCTTTGAGCTGGCGATTGTTCGCATGTCCAGACTGCTAGATCTCTCCCAGAACGCGGTACTCTACGGCGATGTGATGCTGCCCCAGGAGGCGTTCTACACATCCGACTCGGAGGAGATGCGCCTGGTGTCGCGCATCTTCCAAACGGCCAAGTCGATAGCCGAACTTAAACTGACTGAAACCGAACTGGCGCTGTACCAGAGCTTAGTTTTGCTCTGGCCAGGTAAGGGTATTATATTACTATTGAATTTGTATCTACTACCAATAAATCTTTCATCTGTTCTCTGTAGAACGCAATGGAGTCCGTGGTAATACGGAAATTCAGAGGCTTTTCAATCTGAGCATGAATGCGATTCGGCAGGAGCTGGAAACGAATCATGCGCCGCTCAAGGGCGATGTCACTGTGCTGGACACACTGCTGAACAATATACCCAATTTCCGGTATGTGTTTGGATGGTATCCACCTAGTATCCTCCGATCTAATCATAACTATTCATATTTTCAGCGACATTTCCATTCTGCATATGGAGGCGTTGAGCAAATTCAAGCAACAGCATCCGAATGTGGTGTTCCCGGCGCTGTACAAGGAGCTCTTCTCCATAGATTCGCAGCAGGATCTGACATAACAAGAGCAGCAACTGTTCATGGAGAGCTCGAGTGCGGATGAGGTTGCGGACGAGGCCGGTGCGGCTGCGGATGCCGCAGGCCTAGTCCTGCCGCTGGTGGCGCCACCTGCCGGACAGCAGCTGCTCGAGGACTGAGGACCGAGCGGCAAGGATACAAATATGAAAAGGATATGAAAAGAAATGCGTTATACAGCCTCTGCAGATGTCTGCAGATACAAGAACTTTATCATGATTTAAGCTAGCATACAACCAAGGATGTGATCCTCGCCAAGGACTCACTTAAAAAGAACTCTATCTATACATAAACACATATACACCCACACACACAGACACACACATATATATATTATATATGACAGAGCGGAAAACGCAGAGAAAGGGAAGGGAAAATATTTGAAAAATATTGTTAACTCAGTTAAGACTTTTTGCTTCGTAGAGAAATCGAAACCGAAACTTAAACTGAAACTGAAACCGAAACCGATTGCATTTTGGAGCAAGGGGCATACAATTCTGATTTTCGTGTTTATATACAACATATACATACAAAGAAATATATATATTAATACATATGTACCACATCTCATATCCGAAAACCCAAACAGATCGGTAAGAAATAATCAAGAAATCAGCAAACCCAGGCGGCAATGCCTTGATTAAGTACTTAAATTTTTAATTTGTATGCATCCCAGGATAGTTGGTCCTTAGCTCTACTACAGTTCGGTTCCTCCAGCAGCCCTCCCGTCCCGTCCCCTGCCCCGCCCTGGTCCCGCCTAGGTTGTCTTTGCCTTATGTTGTAACTAAAGTATGTGTATTATATATACAGCAGATGTATGTATAACTCTATGTCTTATCGGTTATATGTCAGAACAGAAAACAGAAAACATAAAACATAAAAAACAAAAAAATTATTTCACTGTAAACAAAACTAAATCGAATATCTCGGAAAATGTGTTCTTATAATTATATTGATTAATGCAATTACAATATATTTACAATTTACCGTTACGTTTTTACATTTTACATAAGTCGACGTAGTAGATGATGATGATGATGATGATGAAGGGAATCAGTTAAATAAGAAAACAAAAAACGAAAGTGTAAGGAGAAAATAGAGTTTAGAAAGTGAGCGGGAAATCGAAAGAAAACCAGAAAACGGATATGAAAAGAAAATGCAAATTTCAAGCAAGCACATAAAAGTATGCAATATTTTGTTTAAAAACAATTTTTTATTAGTTCATACAAGTATATATATTAAATTTAACATAATTACGTACATACACACACGTATATATAGGGCTATATATATCTATATATATACATATATGTATATATATGTATACATGATAGACAAATCCCAATCCGGTTCCAAGGTTTAGTAAAAAAAAAAAATAAAGAGAAATGAAACGAAAAACAAACATTTTTTGATATGAAATCCTACGCATAATTACAAAACTTTTATTGTTTCTAAGATTAAAACTTAAATAAATGGAATGGATGAGAAAAACCAAAACAGACTGACGGACCGACCCCGACAGCATGCCGCCCTCTCCCCTCCCAGTCCAGCCTGTCCCTCCTCCCGCTAAAAAATCGTTAAAAAAAAATATGAAAATCTTTTTTAAAATAAAGACAAAACGACAACTTTTTTGGTTGATACATAAAGATATATATACAATTAATTAACTGACTGACTACACAAAGACGTTACACACACACACAATCGCATTCACACACACACAAACGCATACACACACACACATTGCTTACATTACATAAATTAGTTAAACTTAGAGTAAAGAAAGCAACAACAAACACATTGGATAGTAGGTGATAATTGGTGTGTCTTAATCCCCCCACCCTCTCCACCCGATCCCCTCCCAAGCCACGGCTCGAACCCAATCCCGAAAGTGAAAATTTTTACTAAATTTAAATGCTTAAAATAAATCAAAAGGACTTTTTTGGTAATTATTCAAGAAAACAATTTCCGAAGGCAGGCATAATTATTAATTAATTAACATTAATTATAGCAAGAACATTTATAAATAAAAATGAAAAATGTATACAACAACATCTTAAAAACAATCAAATAAATTACATTTTGCAAATTCCAAAATAAATACAATTATTTTGCAAGATTTCTCTCGAAAACTAAACTTTAACTTTGCCTGAAACACTAGCTAACATAGAACTGGGACGAGGACTACAACAATATTTCAATTGAAACAAAATCTATGTTTAGTGTAATCGATAGATTTGGACAAATTTAAGTTTGACATTTTTGGCCTTAAATGAAAAATAAAAAAAGAAGAAAACTAAAGTACTTTATATATATACAAACCATATATACAATATAGAGAATACAAAACTAGTTTTAATTTATACAAAGCAAGGGAGCAGCTTTCAAACTCAAAAACAAAATAAATCCCGAAAAAAACATACAGAACTTTGTTAAAAATTATCCATAATAAAGAAAAACAAAAAACAAAAAATAAACTGACGACACAAAGTTAATCTAAAATATAAATTGAAGTTAAGTTGGTTTAAGCGGTCGCTGGCAACAAAAACATAAATGTATGTATCTATATAATGATATATGTATTGTTAAATTTGTATGCTAAGTTTTTAGTGAGACAAACGGTTACATTTTTAAATAATACTAAACAGAAAAAAAAATAAATAAAAGATGCGAACTCGTCGAGGTGTAAAATGAGTACATTAACATTTAAATTTAGCATATATACGACATAATTATTATGTTACGATATTTACATTTATATAAAAGCAAAAAAAAAAAGAAAGAAATCTATAAAAATCTAAATGCCCCTTAAAAGAAAAAACAAAAAACACAAAAAATTAAAAACGGAAAGGAGGATAACAATCAGAGAACCCAAAGGAGGTAAAAAAAAATTAAATATACAAACAAAACTTATATATGAAAAGAAGGCAAATTATATATTATATATATGATTAAGTAGCTTTAGGCCGACTGTTGCACACACACCTCTATCACACTCACACACACACAAACACACCCACAAGCTGCAGCTGAAAAACAAAATGGGGGAAATTTTCTAAACATCATATTCAAACACTAACACACACAGCCATTCGCATTCTAAGGTGAATATTAAAAAAGCAATATGTCAACGGAAAAGAGTCACAAGCACGGTACAGTGAACACTGGCCCTAATAGACTGATGAACAGTTTTATTATTTCTTTTCCTATTGGTGAATGAAACAATTTCCTCACTAACATAAATATATATAGTTTCCAATGACGTCTTTGCCTCGCCCTTAGGATTTTCCCTCTCGTACCTGTACCATGGGGCGTATGAGTGTTGGCCATACGCTGCGTATGAGTAACATGCATCGACTCATTCCGATATTTGACTTTCAACGGGCTAGACCCGGAGCATGTTTAATTTCAAACAATACTATTCGGTTTTTTAATGTCCGTGCCCGAACATAAATAAATCTCGAAAATCAACACATAAACCAATATACCTATTATTTGTGTATGTGGCTCGGCTGTAAACAAAAACTGGCCAAGAGACAGTAGCTGCTGTTGGAGGAGGGAGGAGGTTGAAGGGGTATTGGCACACGAACAACACAAGGAATCAAAGAAGGAATCATTTTTTTATAAACTATCACTCACTCAAAGAACACACATCACACACTCACAAAAAACTCAGACACATGTAGTTTTAGTTTAATAGGTGAATTCGTTTTTATATATTTGTAAATTGTTTTTAGGTAAATCGAATTATATATACACAGATATATAGTATATACGAATCTCTATACGTATACACACGCATACATATATATGGGACAGATTATATATATTATGTCATACTGCATTATGATTATTACGATTATTATGATTCGAGAAAGAAAACAACCCGACACTGAAACAAAATACCGCATGCATCCGCTGGTCCCAGAACCGAAACATTGTTGGAGAACGCCGTTAAACGCCGCATCAACCCAAGAAATCAGAAACCAGAAACCAGCAGAAAATAATTCAATTCATTCTTAATAATAAAATGTAATCTGAATTATACAAAACAAAAACAAAAAACAACAGCAAACCAAAAGAGAAAACAAATGAAAATCATAAAGAAAACACTTGCCGGCCTTTTTACTTGCCTTGGGGGTTCAAGGGGCGGCTTAATCACTTCATTGCCTATTATATCCATTTTTCAATTAAAAATTGTTTCAATTGCACAACGGTGCTGGTGTTCAGCGCCTGATTTTGCATTGTGGCTCATAATCCACATTAATGAAACGTCAATCAAGGCGTTCAGCTGGACCAGTACAGGAAACACTCCGAATGATTTCCGCGGAAGTAAGTATTGGACATCCATCCTCCTGTGGTGGGAAAAGTGAAAAATGATCAATGAACTTTCAGTCTGGGGGTGTTGTTTCATGGAGGTATGTTTTAAAAAATCTTGAAGATTATACAATGTCCTTAAATGTCTTGAAGAAGCTCCCTTTATAAAGAACTTAACTGTGTTCTCGGTAGGTGACGAACCACATACCACAAAAAGAACAAAATACAATCCCTAGTCACCCATTTCTCCCCCTCACTTAAACATGCAACAATCGTGAAAAAATCGAAAAGCAATTTACTTTCTTACACAATGAAGCAGAGCTTTAATATATGATAATGACCGCAACTGGAGCACAAGTTCCTGAAATGGAGAATATATGTAAGGTCGCCCCTACAGTTATTTAGGCCAATTGCAGTCATGTGTATGCGATCATGAGTCATTTGTGGTTTTTCCCCGTACACCCCCACTCTCCTTCAAGGGGGCAACATGTCTCCGAGAACACTGGCTGATTTTCTGCCAAGTTCAGCAAACTTTGGCGGCAAAATCGAACAACCGAAGCTGAAATGGTCAATCGACAAACTCGCTTTTGATGGCCATAAATTAATACCTCCCCCGATTCTCAGGGACCCCCCGTGTTGGCCGAGCCGCCTTGGAGGCCATAAAAACGTGCTGCATACAAAAGTCGAGTCGAGAATCTTGTAGAGTCGGTTTTCAATACACAATAGCATACAGCACTAACAATAACGACACCTGCTTGCCCCGTTAAACGCAAATCCATGTTTGGGGCAAAGTAAAACTTTTGCCACACTAGCCACTACTTGAGGGGGAGGGCGGGGAGAACTAGATTTATGGCCACATGGATACACCAACACGTTGCCACTACTTGGGGCAAGGTCACTTTTGTTGGAGTCAGCAGGGCAGCAGTAGTTGGCCATGTGAGAAGTACACAAAGTTTATCCTTAAATCTTAACAATTGATTCATCGCAATTGCAGGTGCTTCAAAGTGCTGATGACGGGGAAATATTTGTGGCAAGTAAATTAGGAAGCTTTCAAGGAAAATAACCGAAATTCAGTTACAAAATTGAATTTAAGCTTTCCCCATATTTGTGTTTTACGGCCAATTAAAAATCCCAAATCCCCCATGCTGTCCTTTTCAATCCATTAAATTCATTAATGCTGCTCAATGATTAATCCCCTTTTAATGCCCCTGCCACGTAATATCGAATTAAGTTTGTTTTTATTAGGAAAAAGATTAAATCTGGAGTGTGGTTATATCATATCTTCCCCAAAAAAAACCGGCTGCTGTTCGAACTCTTTAATATTTGGTCATCAATTACAGATGGGTAATGGAAGCGGGAAACTTGGTTGGCTGCGAAAATATGCAAATATACATAATGCATACACAAATTTTCACTTTATTTTCATTTTCATCGCTGAAAAAAAATGTGTAATTTTTGTTGTTGTTCCTGCTATGGTTTAACTCTGCAATTTTAACGCGCTTCCGTCAATTAAACTTACGAGGCGTAACTGGCAAACTGGAAAATTGTGTCACACACACCAAAGCTCCGCCCAGGAATGAGATTGGGAATATTTTACCATACTGCCGGATGGCCAGGCCAGATTGGGGGAGTGTGTTTGTTGCACATGAATGTTGCATGTTGCATATATACGCATAGCAGGCGGTAGCAGGCCTTTCGTTGCCACGATGATCGACATAGTTAAGTGAAAATTTATTGGTAAAGGAAATGGCCGGCGGACAGGGAGACAACAGGCCTGATGTATCGGTTTCCGGGGCTTTTCGGTTGGATAATCCTTGGCAGGCCATCCGCCATCCAAGTGAAAGGCCGTAACACAACAGGTTAAGCAAATTTGGCTATGGCTTTGGCGATTTCGTATGCGTTGGCTTTTGGCCGTTTTCGTTGCTGTTGTAGTTGTTGTCGGCCATTGCCGATTCCTCTTGGCCATCTTCAATATTAATCTTGGAGTAAAGTGCGAAATACTTGGCTGGCCTTGCACCAGTTTATGGCTTTAAAGTTGAAAGGTTATTTCTTAAATCAGAGAATGGATCTAAAACAAATTAACTTTCTACATGTTAAATAAAAATCTTTTATTGGTATAGTATAGTATTGTTGACTATTTATATTTTTTATAAATTAAAAGCAAAAATTACTGTAATTTCTAACGTTAAAGAAACGATTTTTATAATTTGCAGTATATAGAAATGTTTATTAAGAGGAGACATCTCCGAATTGTATAATTTCAGAAGGAAAACTTCTTTGTATGGTATATAAATTATATATCTGAAAATGTAAAAAGGCATATCTTCATTGCCTACTTTAAAGGGCCCTTAGAATTGGAATAGTTATAAAGAGTACAATATTATCTTTATTTTGCGTGTAAAAAGATTCTAAAAAATGATTTAATTTGGTAACTATTTATTAAAATTTTAAGAAATATTTAATTAAGAACTAGCGCCCTCCTCCTCGCTTCTCATAGGTTGCAGATAAGCCTTATGTATGTATATTGTTGGGATACAATACAATATAAGAAACAAATGTAAAGGATAATAAAATTAAACCAATTTAAATCAACATCAAGATCAATAGCAATAGCAACAACAATAATAGCAACAATAATAATAGGTCAATCAATAGATCTTACTTTAATTATATATCCTAAAAAAACAGTAAATATTTAATTTTTATTGCAATGTAATAGACATATATGTATTTATGGCCTGGAAAAGCCTCGAAGCCTCATTTTGATTGGATGTTGCCACCATTCACTCGAATGTGGTGCTAATGACCGATGTCAGGCCAACCCCACTCGGTGGATCGGTGGGTTGGTGGATTGGTAGCTTGGTGGCTTTTTGGCTTTGAGGTGGTTTGGTGGATCGAACCACTTTGTATGCAATTAATTTTGACACTTTTTCGCAATTGCGCGCGATCAAGTGTGGTGGCTGGTTCGATCATATTTCTTGACGTTTTTTGTGATTATATCATCAAAATATTTCTGTTAATTGGCCAACTTCTTCTGGCCGGAGTCGTGAAACTTTCCACAATTGCAGACCAATAAGCAGTTATAGATGTATCACAAAATACGGAGTTATATCATGTCAGGCGGAACAGCACTGCCAAATAGCCAGAAAACAAGAAAACTAGTTGTAGATGAGCCCGACGAAGCGGCGAAGACAATGACCAAGTGTCGTGCCGGTCTGGATTTGTCATTGTTATGCAATCGCGGTGTGCCACCAGCGAAACCAGTTGATTAGTTGGCCGAAATGGAGCGCTTCCTGCATTACATTCATTGCTTAGCTTAGCTCTCTGCCTGCCAGCACCTGTACTTTCTATGTACTTTCAGTATCATGCCCCATGCCCCACGTAAAATACCTAATGGTAGTACCTATGCGGGCCCAACGGCCAGAATGGCCAATCAAATGGATTGCCTGCCACTGCGTTGCACATTTAAATTGCAATCAAATGCAGGTCGTTGGTAGTTGTGGGTGCAAGGTGCACTGCCATTAAAATTTGAGGTTCTACAATATTTTTTTAAAGACTTAAAATAAAGTTTAAAAATACATCTATAAATCATACCTTAAGTATGGAGAGCATGCACTTCAGAAATAATGGGTAAGGTACTGTTTTTTTCAGTTTACAAATTATGCACTATTCTTGATTTTATTTAAAATATATTTTTTTCAGTGCCTATTTTGACATGACGACATATTTCAGCGCACAACTCAATTTACGGCAAACGATTCCGAATCCAAATGCCTAACCAGGAAGCTGGCCAAAATCCTTGCCACTGCCACTGCAACTGCAACTGCAACAGAAACTGCAACGGCAATATGCTGCTGGCGCTACCACCTCCTCCTCCTCCTCAACTGGCCCTCCTCCAGCTGCCTCCAGCCTGCAGGCGGCCAGACCGACATAATCGCTGCGTTTAACTCCGGCACAGGCTTCAATTACACTTACACTTAGCCCCCTCTCGCTCGGTCTCATTGACTGACATCTTGGCTTTTCCCTCGCAACCCGCCGAAAGAGACAGGACTAGTTGGTTAGAAAGAGAGCGGTGGAGGCCGCCCGAGAGCTTGTGGCTTTGAGCTTGAGTTTCTGCTGCTTGCCGCCTGACTTTGCTGGTTACTTTGGGTTTGTTTTGGCTTTGGCTCGGTTTATTTGCGGCCTGGGTATTCACTATCATGTCAGGGTGGATCGGCACCCTGCTTTATAAATAATGATTCGGGGTATATACAATATATCGATCATAATTTTATAAGACTTGGCCTAAATAAAGGCTATTATAAGGGGTTAGGTAATACAATTAATATTAAATAGAGATTAAAAGATAAAAGAATGTCTCTAGAAGATATATTCTCTAGAATAAAAGATATTTTACTGTTTAGTTTGTTTAGTTTATATTCAAAATTTCAACATTAAAGGCTTTTATTAACAACTAAGGCTTTAAAGAGTAACCTCCCCAAAGCTGTTTATTATCGATAAAGATGTATCAAACCTGAAGCTATCTAAAAATAACAGCCTATAGAGTCTTGGCCAAGTCAACCATCTTCGCTGGTACCTCTTCAGAGTGCTTTGAGGCGGCAGTTAACATTGCCACAAGCCGAGTGAGTCCAAGTCCAAGCTGGTCGGCCTGTCGCAGTAAGTAGTTGCTCCGGCCACTTCCGCACCCCCTCGGTTCGCCTCCTGGACACGAGTTGATTATGTTTTTGTTTTAAGTTTCGTTTCCAACTCAGCAACTTCATGTCACCGCACTGCTATCGTTGTTGTTGCAAGAGCTCTGCTGCCGCTCTGTCTCGCTCCGACACGCCGCATGTGTTTCCAGTTGTGGCACGTTTCACTGTAGCGGCCGCTCGCAACTTTTTTCTTTGCTTTTTGGCTCATATTTAAGCGGATGCAGGCGTCGGGTCCCAGAGCAATACCATTTCTACGTCCGTCGACGATGGTTAACCAACATCCGCACCAATAATCCAATTAAATAACATTGAAAAATAAAAAAAAAAAGAACAAAAAGCAACGCGAATAACAATGCATTTGCCCCAAGGAGTAAGTGTTAATTACATTGGGAGTTTCGTGAAAAAAAAAAAACAAGAACCGTGTAAACATTCCCCCAACAAAAATATGTTTGTGTTAGCCAAGAGACCAACAAAAAAATAATATAAAAAATAAATGTTTTAAATGAAATCCGGCTTAGAAAGTCTCCGTATAATTCCGCTGGAAAAGTGCACGACGAGGGGAAAAAAAATAATATGCAAATAAAAAGCTTTCATTTTGCAACGAATTCATTGACTCCAATCGCGCGGGAAATGAGTAACGAGAAATAAAAAACAAAAAAATAAACTGCAGATAACCGCAAAAATTTAATTCGTTTTTTATGACCAGCGCTGAATGTTGAAACATGAAAAGAACTCTCAAGTTGGCCATAAACTGTTAATTGAACCAAATTGTGCAACAAAGGGAAAGTCACAAATCCAGACACGAGTGCTGGCCAAAGTGAAAGGGACTTGGTGTCTGTGGCATGGTCGGAAAATTGCGAAAATATTATTTTATAATCAAGTGATAAGCTTATAAAATATTTGAGAAATAATCCCTTTAGTGTCAGACTTTTATGAACTTCACAAAACACAAATAGTGATCAGTGAAAGATATGCCCTCTTAAATATTGCAGAATTTTTATTGCAATTCAAGTTATATAGCTTTTCTATAAAATAGTCATTGTCTACCTTAAACATGGGCTCGTAGATTACCCATGTGGGCGTCCCAAAATGGCTTTCTAATTCCGTCTTGGCCACTTTGCCGCTGACCGGGCCTCTGACATTGCCGGTGACAGCTCCTAACACGCCCAAATCAAAAACATTTCGTCCACGAGGGAGGTCCCATCACATCCCTAAATGATGATGATGGGTCTTCGAATAATAGTCGTCCGCCCAAGGAAATAAGGTCCTCAGATGCTTATTATGCTAATTGTATTGTCCGGCTGTTTATGAGCTGTTTGTTGAAGAAAATTGAAGAGGCCGATAACCTCTCTTTATTTCAGATGGTAGAATCGTAATGTTTATACTTTTAGCTACTGGATCGTAACCTTTCTACTTATTTCCGTTGCAGGCATTAAGTTTTCTGTTCATCACTTGCATGATGTTCGCGCTGGCAGGAGGCCATCCATCAAGCGACAAGCTAAAGTAAGACCCTTAACCCCGCCCTTTTAACGACTCACAAAAATAAAGGAAAAGTATACATACGCCTAGAGAAAAAAATAATTTTTTTATTCAAGAATCAGGGATAGACAAGCAAAAAATTTGTTTAAACTTAAAAATAAATTTAAAAAAAAAATTAAACTTATTAGTTTTACTCTTTAGATTTGTAATAATTCATCAAATTTTATCCTACAAACTATACTTTTTTTAAGACATACATATTTCCATGTTTTTTAATATTTCTAAAACAAAATTACTCATACGACCTGTATACCAATTGTAGTTTTATGGGAAGTCTAATTCAAATTTAAAGTAAAATAAATTCTTTGTTTGTTTAGTAACGATGGTAATAACTAATATTTGTCATCGACATATCTTTTTTTTATATAAAATAATAATAATTCAAACCAAAGACAACACTGCGTATGAGTAATATTCAAAGCCGTGATTCAAATTTAAGAAAACAAGCTCAAATAACATACTTTTTATGCCAATTTTGAGTTCTATTGACTAATTAGAGATACATTTAATATAATTGACTAAATATGAATTGTATATTAAGTTAATATCTAAGATATCAGCCTAATATAAAGACTAAACCTTTTTTCCTCTGTGCAGAATTCGAATACACGTGCCAGTGAAGCATCACACACATGTGCACACGAAGACGGTCATTAAGAAGGTCCCACTGCCCATTCCGGTGCCGGTCAAGGAGCACCACCACGAACCGAAAAAGCACCACAGCAGCCGCAGCCACCACCACCACCACCATCACGAGGACGAGCTGGATGACGATTTCGAGGGCTACGAGTATCCCATCAAGGCCAAAAGACGCACGCGGCATCCCTTTGTCTGAGCTCTTTCTGGCCAGAAAATACCCCCCGGAAAACACCACCCACGCACAGCGGGGAAAATGAAATCAAATGAAATACAATTTACGCAGATTAAGACGAAAATAAACCAAAATACGAGGCGGCTTGAGTACGGGATACATAAAGGACGACCGGAGTCGGAGAGGATCCGGAGCTGGAATCGGAGAAAACAAAAAAAAATCTATATGAAAACACAACAATTCTGGGTCTGATTTGTCACTGTTTTTTTTAGTGCCTAAGAAAGAAATGCGAAAATATGTAGGAGAAGCTCAAAACATTTCCGTGCAATAAAATAAACAAATATTAGATTTAAGCACAATTTAAAGCCAATGTCTACAAAGTTGTTTGCTTTTGTTTGGGTTCCTTGGTCTTTGACTTTCTGAGTTTTGACAGAGTTTTCGGGATAATAAATATATTTCTTTAGTGGGTGCTTAAATCAGGAAAATTATGTCATACCCTAAAGATTTTATTGAGAGACTAGCTACTACTGATATTGAAAGTTATAAAAAACCATACCGATTTAAAGATCTGTGAGGATTGCAATGAATATCAATTAAAGAGGCAATAATCCTGGTGTTACTATCCTTGAAGCCCCCAAACCTTTTATATCTGCAATATCTACTGATTATAGTACACGATTCGGATTTTACGACTCTGAATAAAATCCTACTAAAGTGAATACTTGGCTGCTGGAAATCAGGGAATCAGGAAACTCCCCCTCGTCAGAGCTTAAGCAACGAGATTTAAACTGATTGAATTGAACATTTCCAGATGTTGCTGTTGGTGTTGCCGATGTTGCTGCGGATGATACTGTTGCTGTTGCCAAAGTTGCTGCTGATTTTGATGCTGTCACTGTGGCTGCCACCTCGCCACCTGCACCTTCTGTGGGATATTTGTGCATAAATAAATGAGGCGCACGACATGCGAAACAGCAAAGTAAACCAAGAGCTGGGATGTTTGTAATGATTTTGTGGCTCTTGGCGCTGGGTGGGGGGCATGAGGCATGGCATCCATCGGGGGCAAGAGACTGAGACCGAAGCTTACGCCATGAAATATGCATGCTCAGCTGTGCCCCGTCCGCGTTTGTCTGTCCCGCTCGGGCGAGCGACAGCACGTGCTGGGCCGTCTAGTCAACAGCCTGGCTAAAAAGAATGTCAACAACTGTTGGCCGGGTCGGGTCGGGATGGGCTAGGACCGAGCAGGCACGCCGCCTGTTGCCTGTGGCTCTCAAAAGGCACTGGGAGAAATAATATAAACCTTTTTAACCTTTAAACCTTTATAAACTCCTAAAGAAAACCAACTAAAAAGTTGAAAAATGGGTTAACATATAGAACCTTAGTATTGGCCATAATATTTCCCCCTGTGTACCGACTGTTTTTCTTACGCCCCAGCAAACAAGCCCGAGGCGGCAGCTGTTGATGGCTCATTTTCCACGACTTTAGCGCCACTCAAGTGGCAGCCACTCAAAGCCGAAGCGAAAGCGAAGTATAAGCAGCCGCACTAGTGGTGCCGGAGGTGGCTAGTGGGGGCAAGAGAGCCCCACAAAGCCAGAAAAAAACGTGGAGGCGCAACAGCAACGACACTCGTCATTGTAGAGCCACTCAATTTACTCGGCACTCAGTCGGCTCGATGGGCGATCCTCCAGCGGAGTGGCGGGGGCGGCAGGAAATCGGACTAGCTGACTAGCAGGGGGCCTAATTAATACGTATGTACAACACCCACCACCCACTAGCCAGCCACCTGCCGCACTCAAGTGGGTGTGGTTGTGGTTGGGGCCCTGGGTGCGTGTGAGTGTGTGCTGGGAAAAGTCACATTAATTTAATGAGGAGCTCGCTAGACAGTGGATCTTTGCCAGTTCTTATCCGATCCCAGAGCGGAGTACCTTTATCGATTTGTGGAAAGATTCTCCACCAATCTGCATCAAAATCTAGAGACAAAATATTTTTTAAATTTTTTGTCAAAATTTCCAGGGGGTCCTCTTCAAAAGTGGGGAATTCCATGGGAGGGTCACTTAGACGCACGGGGATGGCTATATCTTTGCCAATTCTTATCCGATCCCAGAGCGGAGTACCTTTATCGATTTGTGGAAAGATTCTCCACCAATCTGCGCCAAAATCTAGAAACAAAATATTTTTTAGACTTTTTGTCAAAATTTCCAGGGAGTCCCCTTCAAAAATGGGGAGTTGCATGGGAGGGTCACTGTGACGCACGGGGATGGCTATATCTTTGTCAATTCTTATCCGATCCCATAGCGGAGTACCTTTATCGATTTGTGGAAAGATTCTCCACCAATCTGCATCAAAATCTAGAAACAAAATATTTTTTAGATTGTTTGTCAAAATTTCCAGGGAGTCCCCTTCAAATATGGGGAGTTGCATGGGAGGGTCACTTTGACGCACGGGGAGTGCTATATCATTGTCAATTCTTATCCGATCCCAGAGCGGAGTACCTTTATCGATTTGTGGAAAGATTCTCCACCAATCAGCATGAAAATCTAGAAACAAAATATTTTTTAGATTTTTTGTCAAAATTTCCAGGGAGTCCCCTCAAAAATGGGGAATTCCATGGGAGGGTCACTTTGACGCACGGGGATGGCTATATCTTTGCCAATTCTTATCCGATCCCAGAGCGGAGTACCTTTATCGATTTGTGGAAAGATTCTCCACCAATCTGCGCCAAAATCTAGAAACAAAATATTTTTTAGACTTTTTGTCAAAATTTCCAGGGGGTCCCCTTCAAAAATGAGGAATTGCATGGGAGGAGCACTTTGACGCACGGGGATGGCTATATCTTTGGCGATTCTTATCCGATCCCAGAGCGGAGTACCTTTATCGATTTGTGGAAAGATTCTCCACCAATCTGCATCAAAATCTAGAAACAAAATATTTTTTAGATTTTTGTCAAAATTTCTAGGGGGTCCCCTTCAAAAATTGGAAATAGCATGGAAGGGACTCTATGGCCCACGGGTATCATATCCATATCTTTGTCAATTCTTATCCGATCCTTAAGCGGAGTACCTTTACGATTTTTTAGATTTTTGTGAATACATTTATTTCAAAGATTTTAAAATTATAGACCCATATCTTTATATTATGGATAAATTTATTTTAAAACCTTTTCCTCGAAAGCCCAAATATCTTGAAAATTATTAAGTTGTCACCATACCGTGGCCCAGATCTGTGTGTTTCTTGGCCAAGTCCCTGGCCCTTGGGAAGCCAGTGTAGGTCTCATAGGCCAGGTCTTTCAACCGGCTTGTGGCTGGCGAGAGTCCCCCGCCAATTTGTGGGTGTGAAGCTCATATATTTACTTGGCTCTTCGTGTGGTGCGACGGCTGGCTGCTGATTCTGGCAGCATTTTTGGTGTTTTTGTATCTTTGTTGTTGCTGGTGCTGTTGGTGTTGGTGTAGTTGTTGTTGATGGTGTTGTTGTTTGATTTGGGCGCTTCTATTTGATTAGGCCGCCTAAGCGAGCTACGTGCTTGGGTTAATTTGTGGCCCCAAGTGTTGGCCAAGTGGGGGTGCGAAAGTCATTGTTACTGTGAATGTTTGTATGCCTACATATCTGCTCTGATGTTTGTGTTTGTTCTCGTGTTTGTATTTGTGGTGACAGCAAATAAATCGCACGCATGTGCCCCGCCGACACTCGCCATGCCACATGCCACATACAAATACAAAAATTGTGCATAGCACGCATAACAATGAGTGGAACTGGGAGCTGGGAACTGGAAATGGGCCTAGACAAACTACTTTTCGGCTACTTAGTGATAAATATGCTGGCTAATCAAATGGGAACTAGATTTGCGGATTAGCCGGGTCGCAAACTTGGCTTACCGAGTTACAAATCCCCTGGCTAATTCAGGCTCTTGGCCAGTGGCACATTGAACGGAGGAATTAATCAGCGAGATCAAGATTATCCTTGGGCTATTTAGGAACTTTTAACCTTAACCTTAAGAGTTCCTTAACCCTTCTGGTCAAACAATATCCAGCCCCCAGGGTCTACCAAAATCCATCTCCTGCCCTGTCATAATTTTCTAGTTTTCTAGACGATGACCAAAATAAAAAGAATAAAATAAATAAATAGCAGCCTGGACCTAAAGGACATTTGTCTCGAGTGGACAGCAATCACCGGCCGGACCCTCGTCCTGTGCTCCTTTTGGCATATTTGAAATACAAACATAAAAGTAGAGATTTGCTGACTTCGGTGCATAAACCGAGGCAAACATCATAGTCCATATAAACAGATTGTTAAATATACGTAGTTTATGCCCCAGGACCCTGGCCAAGGAGAGCAACTTATGCGTCGTCCGACATTTCATATTTCTTTTACGATTCCCTCCCCAGGATAATGCCGGCAAGGATGTCAGGGATGGGTGGATGGGTGGCGATTTTATTGCTTATAAAAATAAAATAGATGGGGTAGAAATGGACTATGCGAAAGAAGAATCAATGTCGGCTTTCGTTTTTATTATTTGCATAGGGCCAGATGGGCGTGACCACGCCCAGGGCCTAAGGGGAAGGCCAACTGGTTTTATGGCCCCATTTAGCGATGAGAACTTTTCTTTTCGGCCCTCACTCCCGCGCCCTGCCTCTCTGTGTGTTTAATTCCCAATTAATTTGGGATTTGGCCACTGCTCTCCGACCAGTTAATTAGACGGCCATAAAACGGCCGCTAAATGCCGCTGCCACAACGGACACTGCCACAGTAGCATCTGCTGGCGCAATTTTTGGCAATAAATGCGTTCGTCACATGCACAAATTAATTACCATTTGTTTTCTGGCCAAAACCGAAATTTAGTTGCAGATTTTACCGACTGGAAATAAAATTTTTAAAATGGCTGAGGGCAGGGAGTGCACCATTACAAAAGCCAACAAATCGTCGACTCATTAAGGGGGCCAATGAGATTTTTCCGCTTGTTCTGGCCTGTGAAATATTGCCGAAATAATAAGAGGGTCGTACTAGCAGCAGGTGTGACTGAAAATAAACTTTTTAGCACCGGAAATAAACAGACCTGCAGGAAAGTAATACAATTAGATGTAAACTAAGAGGTCTGTAAACAAATTATAAATAAAACCA